TGGTGACCCCCAACCATAAAATTATTTTCGTTGCTACTCTATAACTGTAATTTTGCTACTGTTATGAATCGTAATGTAAATATCTTTTTGTTTTCTGATGGTCTTCGCGACCCCTGTGAAAGGGTTGTTCGACCTCCGAGGGGTCGTGACCCCACAGGATGAGAACCGCTGCTCTATAGCAACTTGACCACCCCTAGAAATCCCCAATTAGTTCCTACCCTTATCTCCAGAATATCAATGTCCCCCCAAAATATTCAGACCCTTCCAAATCCTACTTTAAACCTACAAAACGTATAAATATTCCCTCCAGAACAGGAGGCCCCAATCTCAATGAACCCCACATAGATCCCACACCTACCAAGAACTCCAACATACACAGCAATTTCCCAACCTCACAGATGTCCCTAAAGACTAGTTTCCTGAAATCCTATACTCACTTCAAACTCTTCCTAAACCTCTAAATGTATTCCCTAATTCCACAGAAGCCCCCAAACTGCAAAAGAACTCACTAAAACATAAACCCTCCCTCATACATAAGGCTAATCCCAAATTATATATTTCTCAAAGCCAAAAGAGCCCCTCAAATAATCCCAAAGAAACCCTACAAATGTTACAACAGACATTTGTTATAACAGAGCTTATTGCAGGCTCACTACAAGCTAATTAGGTACTGTTCTAACAAATCCTGCTGCTAATCCTCCCAGTCCCTAGAAAGCAGGTAGTGTATTAGTCCGTTTCCAGATGAGGCACAGAAAGGTTGAACCCCAAGTCTGGAGTCAGACAGGAAGAAGGCAAGACAGGAGAAAACAAAGGTGTTCTGGCTCCAGAATCGGTACTCCTGGATTCTTTGCTTATAAACCTCTCTATAAGCTCCCAAATCATATACCTACAAAACACCCCAAACCCCAAAGGAGACCCCTACAACACAACCGAACCTACCACATTACAAAAGAACCCAAACTCAAATTCCAAGGCGCCCCCTCAGCGCAAAAGGACCCCAAGTATCTCCCACAACCACACAAACACTTCCACAAGCCCTAAAATATCGCTTCAATGCAAATGGAACCCTCAAATTTTGTAACCGTCCCCATGAAATCCGCCAACCCCCTCAAACGACCCTCGAAACCTAGGCACACCCCCAAGGGGCCACCAGCAGGGAGCCCCGCCCCCCTGCGGGAGAAAGTGGCAGCCCACAAGCACGCGCCTAGAGGGACGAAGGCCCGCCCCCTCACTCCTTCCCTAAGGCAGTCCTGCAGGCTGGCGCAGGACTAGTTTCCCTCCTCCCCTTTGTTGACAGACTCGCGCGTGATGCCCCCAGCCAATGGGAGGCTGCCATTCTGGGCCTTGTCCATATAAGGCAGGCCTTGGCGAAGGGGCCCAACTTCGAAAGAGGGAGGAGTAGGCGAGAGGTGACTAAGGAGGTGTGGAAACAGCGGCGTGTAAGAGAGTGTGGAAAAATTCCCAACTTTCTGCTAAACGGAGGAACAAGGCAAATACAGAGGCGACCGCATTCACGGAGAGGTTTATTACAAGACATTCCCTTTATACAGGAGCCCTGATTGACAGTTGAGATTTAAAGGGACAAGCAACTCCGGGATTGAGACTCCAGGGAGGGAGGGAAGGAAGCGAGCACAGAGATCGGAGAATGCCCAGCTTTGGTTGGGAATCCTGGGGGCCAAGATTTCCCCCTGCGGGGGGAAATGAGGCAGCAGGATCACCTCTCTAAAAACCAAATGGCAGAACCCTGCAACGGCTCTCGCGGCACTGAGTCTAAACCTCTGGTGGCATTCAAGGCTGAGGCGCTGGGGCCAAACGGACCTCCCTGTTCAGTCATTCAGTCTTTCCAAACTGGCGCCCCAAATCTGACTCAGCCTTAGTACAAGAAAAAAAAAAAAAAGAAAGAAATACGTTCATAATGATTTTAAAATATTGATTACCTGTCAAAATAATATTTAAGATATAATTTAATTAAATATGTAAAATTAACTTTTCTTTTGACTTTTTAAATGCGAGTACTGGACTTTAAATAACACATACACTTCACATTCTATTTCTACTGAACAACGCTGGTCTAGATCCTTTCAACGTCAGGCTGATTCCAGAGACACCCAAAGGTGGCTCCACTACTGGCGCCTGTCCAGGCATCACCTGTTCCCCCACCACCCTGCCCTGGCATTGCCTGCTTCCCAATCATCCTGCACATTAAAGCATAAACCTGACCCCATCCCCACCCTGTTCAAAACCTGCCATGACGCCCCAGTACCCTTGGGAAAAAGCCCAGGTATCTCACCAATCCAGCCTCATCCCTCCCCACTCCTGCACACCCTTGGCGGACCCAGGCGGGCACATGATCTGGCATAGAGAACAGTTAGAATACTGGGCCCTGTCTGATCCTCAGCAGGCGCTATTATCATCTTCACTGTATGGATGAAGAAACTGAAGCAGGACGAGTTGCCTACCCAGCTCAAGGTCACACGGAACTGTTGTGACATGGAGCAGGGACATGAACCCAGGGAATCTGATTCCAGATCACTGTGCTCTACTGTTTCACTACATATTCTCTGAGGTCTCAGCTCAGCCATCCCCTCCTCCAAGAAGCTAACCCACCTCTGGGCTCCCACCCTAGCTTCCCTGCTACCTATTCCTCAGTCACCTAACTCTTTTTTCCTTCCATGGTCTTTGGATTTGCTGTTCCCGCTAATTAGAAGGCTTTCCCCCCAGATATCCACATGGCTCCACTCCTTATTTCCTTATTATTCTAGTCTTTGCTCAGATGTAACTTTAATGAGGCCTCCTCTGAGCCCCTTTCCTAGAACCACCCACCCGCCAAGAGAGGGACCTCTTGGTTCCCTAGTCCCAGCCCTGCTCACTCTGAATCACCACTATTTAAGGATGGATCTGTCTCCTCTACTGGACCCACAAAACCCCTGGGGGAGGGGGGGAAGGGCCAGAGCTCTCAAGGTCATCATGATGTCCCCAGCATGGGACTGGATGGATCAAAGCTCCTTTCCCTGTGGCTCCAACTCCAGAACTTCATGAAGCCTTGGCAGTGTAAACTCTGTTTCACACCCAGGTTCTGTCTGTGTCCTAGCCGGCAGGGTCACTGGGGCAGAATTTTCTAACTCCTCACACACTGAGCCTAGCACAAGGCCCTAAGTTAGGTCAGCTTTCAAAGAATGTTCCACAAAGATCCATTTATTGTAAAACATCACAACACAGAAAGACTGAAAGTAAAAAGATGGAAAAAGACTGACCAGGCAAATATGAAGCAAGAGACAAGTAGAATGACGTTACCACTTAAAAACAAAAACAAAAAAGCCTGACAAAAGCAAAAGGTATTAGGGACAAAGATGGTGACAAAACAAATTGACCCATTACACAAAAAAGTTCTCAACATAAGTGTTCCTAATACTATGGCCTCAAAGTATATACAGAAAAACAAAAACAAAAAACAAAACAAGATGACAGAGTTTGGTATATCCACAATTGTAATGGGAAACCTTAAAGTAACTCTCCAAAGAGCGAATGAAAAGATAAAATTAGTAAGGACCTGAACCCCATAATCAACACTGATGGAGAATCCACATTTTACATTCCTAGTTTGATATTCAGAGGTCCTCCTCCGTGCTGGCCCCGGGTTGGGCGCTGGGGACACAGAGATGACACTGAGCTCACCATGAAGAGCTCATGGGAAAGGGGGCAGACATCCAAATAAACAATCATGACCAACATGAATATATTACAGACAATGATGATCACAACAGCAGTTAACACTTAAGCACGAACTGTGAGCCAGGCTTTGCTCTTAGTGCTCTATAAATATTAACTCATTCAGCTCTCACATCTCACTATTTTTAATCTCATGTTAAAGATTCGGAAATGGAGACATAGAATGGCTACGTAATTGGCTTTGAACACAGCTTTGTGGCCGCTTTGAATCAAATGAGCTTGGCGGCCTCCAGAGCACAAGTTCATGAAGCACAAGCAGCTTCATTCATTGAGTATACCAACCACTTTGCAAGGATCTTCTTGTTCAGTCCTCAAGGCCTATGTACTCTCTGTTCCCCCTGCTCAGAATGCTCTTCCCTAGGTATGCACAAGACTTACCCCCTTACCTCCTCTGGGTCTTGCTCAGAAATCATCTTCATGAGAACTTCCTTGATTTAAAACTGCAGCCCCCGCCACATACCCTTTCCTCCTTCCCTGATTTATTTTCTCCTTAGCACGTATTACCATCTAATATACCATAAACTTTGTTTATAAAGTTTCTTGTCTCCCCTCACTAAGATGAAAGCTCCCCCAGGGTCAGTATTTTTGTCTAGTTTTGTCACTGCTGTATCCCCAGCTCTAATGACAGCACCGAGCACTTGGCTCCTCTAAGTGTGGTGTCCAGAGCAGCAGCCCCTGAGAATGCTAGAAATGCAATCTTGGGCTCCAGCCTATACCTGCTGAATCAGAACATGACCTTCAACCAGATCTCTAGGCAATCGCATGCATATTTAAGTTTGAGAAGCAATGCCCTAGCACATGGTAGGTGTGCAATGCATATTCGTTTGAAAATATGAACAAATTCCTAACACTGTCATGCTTTCTGCCTTTAGCACATTTGATACCGGGGACCTCCTGGAAAAAAGCCAGTTGATTCCAACCAAGTCCACCTGTGGAAATCCTGCTTCCAGAACTGAGGCAGGATGCTTCCTCCTCCTCTAGGAGCTGTCCTGGTGCCCTCACAAGCTACATGGGATCTCTTCCCCCTGAGGCCTGTGCTTTTGCAGCACCTGTCACCTGTCATTGCTGAATGACCTGGGTAAAGGCCTCTCTCTCCTCCACCCTGTGGGTTTCTGGAAGGCTAGGACCTCTCCTCCAAGGCACAGCTGCTCTAGCCTGCACACTTGGCTCACTGGGCTAGTTTAGCTCTTCCAGCTCCATCCTAGCCAGTGAGAGCTTTCCAAACACAAATCGGACCCTATCACTCCCCTGCTTAAAACCCTTCCAAGAGGTGCAAGTTCGCAAAAAAAAAAAAAAACAACCAAAAAACATGTCCATGAACCCTTTTTCAGGAAGTTACTGGAGGGTGTGCTTCTCCAAAATGGAGTAAACCAAGAAAAAGTGATCAGATCAAGGAAATAAGATCTAGCCCAAAAGAGGGGCCAAAGGAATCCCCAGATGAAGGTAAAGGGAGAGCCTAGGAGGAGAGCGGTGCAGCAGGTCTAGGGAGAACCTGTTTCCATAAATGCACAAAGACAAGAGAAAAGCTGACAATTAACAAGCTAAGCGTGCAACTTAAGACATCTGAAACAACATCAACAACAACAATAAACCAAAGAAAGAAGAAAATGATAAAAAACAGATGCCTGACCCTCCCATGCTGACTCAGGTGACACCCCTCGCCCCACCTTGGGGTGCCTCCATCCCAGGGTTTGGGGCTGTCTGAGTCCATACCAGGACAGGGCTGGGCATAGAGCACTTTCCTACAGTCACACAGGAATTGGTGGCAGGACACTAGGGCCCTGTTCCTTGACCTGCTCCTTCTATCCCCCACCCTCTTGACCCCACCACCCACCCTGCCACCATTTGTCCACAATCTTGATCCATCCATCCATCCCTTTCTTGGCTTTTTGGCCTCAGCGTCTGCTGGCCTCACTCCCTGTCAAGTTTTCCTTCCCAACTAAAACTGCCTAATAGTAGGAATCATCGAAATCTAACGTGTCAGGATCTAGAGATCCTACAGGATTGTTGGAAAAGTCATGACGTATTTTTACAACGAAAAACAGAATACGTCATGACTTTTCTGACAGCCCAATAGGATGCAGACAGAATCCAGGCAGAGCCTGCCAGCATCCCAGCTCTCCCAACTCTGGGAGCATGACCTCAGGCAGGATGCTTAACCCTCCATGCTTCAGTTTCCCCCATTGTAAAATGAAGATAATAACAGCACCCACCCGTGGGTTGGTTGACCACTCACTGGAAAGGATCAACCCAGGAGAATGCTCAATGCCAGCTAGGCACTGAGAAATGGCTGGCTCACTATTCAGGCGCTGGGATTATTAAGAAAAAGTGAGACTACCTGAGAGTTTGGAAATCACTGACCCAGCCAAAGACTTCTTCCCTATTTCACATTCTGAAATTAAATTGATCCCAGTTCCTCACAATAGCCAAAACAGGACCATTCCTTTATTGTGGTTGGGTATTGGGTCTCAGTTATTAATTGAACAGACATTTACAGAGCAGCTACTGTGTACCAGGTACTATTCCAAGCACTGGGGATATGCAGGAAAAAGGAGGAAGAAATCCTTGTCCTCATGGGGCTGATACACTAATTGGAGAGAGGGACAATAAATATATAGTAAGTTTCAAGGTGGCAAATGCTGTGGGAGACAAATATAGTAAGTAAGAGAGATTTAGAGCATAAGAAGGGGAGGTTATGATCTGAATCAAGGGGTCAGGATGGCATCACAGATCAGGTGATGGGCCAAGCCTTTTAGAAAACCTGTGCTTTTAGGAATAATACGGCATTACCACAGCTGCTAGAAATACATCATTAAAAATATCACTTTGTATGAGTAAGCTTCAGACAAGCACAAGTTGAAAATACATTTAAGATTTTAAGAAAAGGCCAAATTACTTGGAAAGCAGGCACATTTTCTAAGACAAAGGAAAAAAAAGTGTCACATCACCCCAGGGTGCCCAGATGTGACACACAGGAACAGGGATGAGTGGGAGGTTGGCAACTTTTCTCCAAACCAAGACTATTTCAGATAATTCACTGAGGGCTGGAGGCAAAGTGTTAAAAATCCATGAAAACAATGACAAGCAGGCAAAGATGGCATGAGAAGCTAAAAATGAATCAGTAATAGAGAAGCCCAAACCTGAAAAATGAGCACAAGTGCCACCAGAGTTGCAAAACTGCCCCAGCGCTGTGACAACAGCAAGCTCTCCAAGGGCAGGGTGTTGGCCTGCACCTGGTACAGACCCTGGCACACAGTAGGTGCTCTATCAACACTGTAGACTACTCAAGGAATAAACCCGCATTTTCCAGAAGAGGAAACTGAGGTCCTGAGGGGTTAAGTGACTTGTCCAAAGTCACACTGCTGCAGGGTGATGGAGCCAGCGTTCACATCTGGGTATTGTGGTTTCAGAGTGCATGTTCAATAAGTTCTTCTTGAAAGAATAAAAATCATTAAAATACTTCCCACTTACTGAGGGCTTCATAAGCACGAGGCATTTTATATGTTACCTTATCAACTCCTTACAAGAGCCTCATAGTTGGAATGTAGCCCCATTTTACATATTAGAAAACGGAGGCCCAGAGTGGGCCAAGGACACACAGTGGCAGAGGTGGCGAGTTGAATTTGAACCTGGGCCTATCTGAAGCCAGTGCTTTCCTATCAGAGTCAGATAACTTATGTGATACTCAGGAAGCCTCTCAACAAATGAACCAAGATGAATTACAAAGTTGCCAACTGCCCAGTGAGGCCCCAATGACCAAAAGGTTGGGGGAGGGGAGAACACAGTTGTTAGAAATATTTCCTTTTCACTGAAATACCTGGAGTTGGGCCAGGCTGGGCATTGCCAAGTGAATTATTTATATTTGGCTGAGGATAGGGATGGGAATGGGGACAGATTGAGTTTCTGAGCACCCCCTTGGGGAGCCACCCCTTGGACTTGGGAGCCCAGGGGTAGAGGATGGGGAACTAGAAGAGTCAGGATATGGGGGCGACCTGGGAGAGAAAGGAAAGGAGGCAACCTGGCTGATGTCTCGCTCACTGGTCCCTCTCTACTGCCTTCTCTCTCAGGTCTGATTCCTATTCATGTTAAAAAAAAATGACAACTCACATGTATTGAGCACTTACTCCAAGCACTTTACATGCTTACTTCTGTGAACCTTCTAACCTTCCTAGGGTTACTGATCCCATTTTATATTTGAGAGGCCAAAATACTTGCCCAAGGTCACACAGCAAGTAAATGGCAAACTAAAATTAAAACTGAGGACTGCTTGAGCCAGCCAAGTGGCGCGTTGGTTAGGAGTTGGCTTAGGACGGCAGCTCTGAGCAGCAGGGCCCCGGTTCGGATCCTACATTAGGGCCAGTGATGCTGCGCCCTCTACAGCTAAGATGCTGAACAACAGCTCGACCTGGAGCTGGGCGGCTGAGAGTCGCCGGAGACGGTGTAGGCTGCAGTGGGGCTGGCCAGCAGCTGGTGTGAGCTTTCGTGAGCCACCGTGAGCAGCCGTCCAATGGCCGGTGAGCAACTGACTCACCCGGGAAGAGCACAATGATAATACCAACATGGGCCAGTGACGTGACGTCCTCCACAACTAGACTGAAGAACAAAAGGACAGCAACTTGTCTGTTCCCCTTCCCTAATTCCCCAACGCTGCTCCCCTCTCCCAATTCCCCAATAAATTCTTTAAAAAAACCCAAAAAAACAAAAAAACCAACAACTGAGGACTGCTTCAGTTCTCCAGTCCCTGTCCTACTCATGACTTCAGTACAAGGAGAGGGGACTAAATTACAGCAGTGAAAGCACAGATTCTGAGTCTCGATGCCTAGGTTGGAATCCTGAGTCTATTATTTAATGCTGGATGACCTTAGGAAAGTTGCTTAACTTCTCTGTGCCTCTACTTTCTTTCTGTAGAATGAAGATAATAACAGCACCTATACCTTAGGAATGTTGTCAGAATTAAATGAGTTACTCACAAACAGCTAAGAACAGGGCCAGGCGCTTCCTAAACAGTAAGTGTTAGCTGTAATCCACTGTGGGGAGCCCCTGCATGCTTCTGAGCTGGGGTGTGCCCAGATCAGTGCCAGGTTTTGAGAAAATGCCCCTGGGGCTGGACTGAAAAGGAGGGAATCCATTAGCACCTGTGACCCAGTCACATTCCTGGGGTGGGGAACGTCCCATCAACAAACAGCTCTACTGAGGACTTACTGCTAGCCGGGGTAAGGATCTCATGGCGCCTCCCCTTGTCTCCATGCCATGCTATTCCCACAATACAGATAAGGGCACTGAATTTCAGAGAGGGGAGACTTGCCCAGGTCACAAAGGAAGGGCAGAATAAGAGATCTGAATTATGGATTGCCCATACACATAAACCACTACACTTTTCTAAATCCCACTGGAGAAATGAGAGAGCACAAGTTTGTCTCTATGGCCCCTCTGGCCATATTATCTTACAGTTCTGTGATTGTCCAGCGTATCAGGAATCTCTGGCTGGACCAGGCAAACTATCGCTACATCCCGGCCCCTAATCTCACTCTCCCCATCCCATCCAGTCCTGGAGCCTAACCCACACACCACTTTACCACTGATTTCTCTCTTCCACCATTTCAATTTGCTCTCCTCTCCCTAATCCAATACAGAGGCCCCAATCCACCGCATCCACAGCTGGCCTCTCCCTCGAAGCCTCCAGACCCCTTCATTCATCTAGCCCTGACCCCCATGCCTTTCCATATCCCCCTGGCTAAACCCCTCAAAATTGTCCCTTCAGGGCCTCTGCCTGGACGTCTAGCCCCTTCTCCTACTCAGGATCCCCTTTCCCAACTCTGGGCTCCCTTACAATCAATCCCAAAGCTCGACTCCCTTCCCACCTCTAAGACCCGTCCCCAACCCCCATTCTCTTACTACTCCCTCCGGCTCCCATTCCTTCCAGTCCCCTCCCCCCAGCGATCTCTCCTCATCCAGCCTCTTCTTTAGCCCTTGCCTCTTCCCTCTCGCCACTCGGTCCCGAACCTCCGCCCCAGCTCTCAAGCGCCCCGGGCCTCCGCTCTGGGTTCTCACCATCTCCCTGCGCCGCAGCTCCCTCGGCTACGCGGGTTTCCCCCACTCGCTCCTCTCCAGCCTCCCCTTCCGGGTTCCCGCCCCGAAGCCCGCTGGGAATTGGAGTCCGGGCGGCTACGGACTACACCTCCCAGAAGGCAGCACGGCCAAGCTTTCGAAGGTGGGAAAGAAAGCAAACTGAAAAGGACAACTGTAACTCTCTAGAGACAGACAGGGCGCTTAGCAGCGCAGGCGCAAAGAGCGCCCCCTCCAGGCGCGCTGGGAGATGTAGTCCAGCCTCCTCCATTTTGGCCCCGGGCCCTTGGAAAGGGAATTGAGAAAATTGCAAAGGGCTTTATGAGAGGTGGAGAGTTGGGGAAGAACAAGTTTATCGTTTTACTTAAACTGATTAACACAATAATTAACAGAGCCTTGTACTTTCTCACCCACTTTTTTCCTCTGGTTTTCTTACCACCACCTAATTCACAAATGAGAAAATTAAGCCTTAGGAGAGAAGGAAGACCCATGCACTAGGAACTCGTCCACGTCATAGAATAAAAGCTCCACGGGGACAGGCACCTTTGTATATCTTGGTCAAACACCCATAACAGCGTAAATAAGTGTTGAGTAAATACTGCATGCTAATTGTATGCCAAAACCCTGTAGACAACCTCAGTAAGAATTATTTCAAATGTATAAATTAAGGCAGGAAAAAATTAAGCCTTTCTCCATGGCAACACAGCAAGAGAGTGATTGGAACTGAAATGTGTTGGACACCAGGGCCTCTACTCTCCACAAGGTCGCTAGATCACTTCTCCTTAACCTATATTTTCCAGTCCATCCTCCTCGCGCGCCATGAGAATGAGCTTTCTAAAATGCAGAGTTTGGTATATATATCAAGGCACATACAGCTTCATGAGGGGAACTGCTACCAAGGCACAATTCCAATGGCCCTTGTTTTTGAATCTTTAAAGCAGCCCCTGCCTCACTAGATTCTCACGGTCTGTGAGCCTTCCAGACTGCACTGGAAAGACCGCGGCTAAATTCCCAACTTCCACCATGGTGCTTGGCACACAGAAGGGCCTCGTTAGATACGTGCTGAAGGGAAAACGTGGAAATGGAACACCTGAAGGCCCAAAGGGAGCCTGGCCAGACCTCTCTTCCCGGGAGTTGGCAGTTGGGGAGACCCCGCCTCCTAGTTAGTATCCTTCGGCTAGGACGGCAGGAGTCATGAGGTGGGCGTGGCCCGCCGAAAAGGCGGCAGCTGAGTGAGCCCTGATTGGTCGGTACTTTGGCGCGCACCAGCAAATGTTGTGTCAGGAGGCGCGAGGCTGAGCTCGCGCCATGCTTGAAGACAGGGTCCTTTCCCAGGCGCGCGTGCGCACGGCCACTTGCACCCTACCCTCTGCCATTTCCAGTTTCTCGCCCAGCGCACTTGGCGGGAACTGGTGAGGGCGTGGCTTGGCCTCAGGAGCACACTCTCGCTCGCCTCTTCAGGCCTCACTCAGGAGCCTCGCATCCAGGAGATTCGCGCCCACTTCGTGCCGGGGTTTGAAACGTGGTGACCGAGGCCAGCCTGGGGCCTGCACGCGCCGCCATCCTCCCAGAACCAGCGTGAGACGCTGTCGGATCGAACTCCCAATTGTAGGGCTGGCGAGAAACCAGAAGGGGGCGGGGGAAGCCATTTTGCTCGTTCTGAGGCGGGTGGCTGGAGGCTGAGGGGAATTGGGGTGGGGAACTGACTGGCACTACTGACCAGAGGGGAGCCTGGGGTTCACTCAGGAGCAGCACTTTGTGGCCGCGGCCTTCTGCTGGGGGCGGGGGTCTTAGGGATGCAGGGGCGAGGGTACCCTGGGTGCAGAGTGGTGGGTGAGGCAGGACTGGGGCAGCAGAGCCAAGTTTGGGTTGGAGGCTGGGCCTAAATTTTGGGATTCAGGCTCAAGTTTGAGATACTGGGAGGCTCTGTTTGCATAGGGTTGGGGATCTGGGGTCTCAGGATTTGTGACTGAATATAACTAGTTTTGGACCTGAAGGTCTTGAGTTTTGTAACTTGAAGCTTTCCTGTTGGATCCTAATTTGGGGATCTGGACATCTTAGTTTTGAGTTCTAGAGTATAATTTTGGGGGTCTGGGGTCTGCTTTGGGAGAATTGAAGCCTCAGTATAGATTTAGGGTCTAGAGTCTCAATGTAGAGTATGAGGTATGATATTTAGGGTTTGGAGTCATAGTTTGGGACCTAGAGAATTAAGTTTTGGGGCCTACAGTCCCCGGGTCTCAGAGTGTGGGACTCATGGAGATCTTTGTTTTAAGGTTGGGGTCACAACTTGGGGGTCTGAAGTGACAGTTTTTGTGGGGTTTTGTTTGTTTGTTTGTTTGTTTGTTTGTTTGTTTGTTTGTTTTAGCTGAGCCATCCTGCTACCTGTTGGCAGCTCAGCGGCTGCTCAGCTCAGGCTGGACTCGAACCGCTGTTGCTCAGAGCTCAAACTCTTGAGCGAGCTCTTAACCAACTGAGCCACTCGGCCGGCCCTCTGAAGTGACAGTTTTGGGGGCTTGAGGTCTTTAGGATCTGAGGTCAATTGGGAGGTGCTGAGGCTTGCTTTGAAGGGGTTTAGATTTCTTACTTAAGGATTTGTGTTCTCAGTGTTAAGGTTTGTGGTCTGTGACTTTAATATTAGGATTGGGATCATATTTGGGAGTCAGAAGTTGAAAGTTGAGGGGTCTAGGGTATCTCAGTACTCGAGTTTAGGGTTTTTTAGATTTGGAAGGGCTCCTTTTTGGGTTCTAGGTCCTCGCTTTGGGAGTTTAAAGTCATAGTTTTAGTGTCTTAATATCACAGTTTAGAGATCTCAAAGCCACAGTTTTCAGGCCTGGAAGTCTCCATTTCAGGGTCTGACATCTCACTATTAAGAAATTCTGAAGTCAAAGTTTGGGAATTTGCTCTTTAGTTTTAGGTCTGGATCATAACTTAGGGGCCTAAATTGACAATTTGGGATTCATGGACTTTATTGTAGAGTTTGGGGTTTTTAACTTGGTTTCTGGGCCCATATTTGTGGGGCTTGGGGACTCCATTTTAGGATCTTTAGGGCTCAAAGGAGCACCATGGGGAAAATGAAGGCTGCTTGTCATGCTGCCTGCCCATTTCTCCTGGAATTCCAGAGGTCACCAATAAGTCTTTCTTTTTCCCTTTTTGCAGATGTGGGATTCCAGCAGATATCTATGTTCCCCTGAACAGCCCATACCCAAGAAAAGGTAAGGGCTCTGCCCACCCCGCCATGACCCCCACTCCCCATCTTTCTTGCAGTTCCAGCTACTCTGGTTGAATAATAATAACAATAATGTTTACTGAGCATATTCTGTTTTGTCAGACTCGTTGCTAAGCCTTTTGTTTGTATGATACCCTTTAATCCTAACAACTCCACAAGGAAGTATGTGTGATATAACCACCATTTTCAAGATGAGAGAACTCTGAGGTAGTTGGCTGAGATCATCTCTACGCCCTTGTAGGCTTTGGCATTCTGAGTGTCTTAAATGCTCTTCCTTCTTTCTTTTATTCATATTCATTCATCCATCAAGCACTTACCAAATGTCAGGAATCTTATAGAGGGGATTTTCCTAACTGATTGAGGGTTGGATCAGATTTGTCTCCACCCCTCACCCCCCCTTATAAAGTCTGGATAAAGAAAGAATAGCCAGAATTCATCTTATCCCCTACTGTCGTCCCCCACCTTCCCTGCCCCCTGCCCGCCATGTCCACTCATCTTTTCATTCATTAACTCCAAAAATAAGCATCTGCTTTGCTCAGATTCTCTACTTAGGTACTGTGCTAAGAAGGAGCACCATGAAGAAAATGAGAAATGCCTATCACACTGCCCATTCCTCCTGGAATCCCAGAGGTCACCAGCAGTGCTTTTTTTCTTCCCTCTTTCTAGATGTGGAGTCCTTGTATTAATAAAGACTCTTAGTGCAATAACAGAAACCTAGCTGAAACCAGCTTAAACATAAAAGGGGATTTATTGGATCTTTTTTTTTTAAAGATTTTTTTTATTGGGGAATTGGGGGGATGGGAACAGTGCTGGGGAATTAGGGGAAGGGGAGCAGACAAGTTGCTGTCCTTTTGTTCTTCAGTCTAGTTGTGGAGGACGTTGCTTCACTGGCCCAAGTTGGCACCATCATTGCGCTCTTCCCAGGCGAGGCACATCAGTCGCCGGCTTCTGGATGGCCACTCACTGCGGCTGCTGGCCGCTCACGCTGGCTGCTGGCTACACACGGTAGCCCATGGCGACCCACTGCAGCAGGGGCTGCAGCCTACGCCGTCGCCCGCGACTCATGGCAGCCCAGCTCCAGGTTGAGCTGTTGTTCAGCATCTTAGCTGTGGAGGGCAGTGTCACTGGCCCTCATATGTGGGATCCAAACCGGGGCCCTCTGGCATCCCAAGCCAGTTCTTAACCATCGCGCCACTCGGCCGGCCCTATTGGATCTTTTAAACAAAAAATTCAGGGGCATTGGGCTTGGCTGGTTCCAGGTGGGGGTTAAATGGTGTTGCCAGGAATCTGCTTCTCGCAGCTCTGCTGTTGTCTGTGTTGGCTTTCTTCTCAAGCAGGCTCTCCTTTTGTGACAGCAAGATGACTCCCAGCAGCTCCAAGTTCTTATTTTGCCAGCTTGACAACCCTGGTTCAGAGAGTCTCATTCCAGAATCCACTGACTGATTGGACAAACCTGGTTATGACCCCAATCCTGAACCAATCACTGTGACTCTTCTTGGCTGGACCTTGCGTCTGTGCTCCCTAGTGGAAGGGGAGGTTGGCATGAGCTTCTCTGAACCACATGGACTGAGAGTAGGGGAGGGGAGGTTCACCAAAGGAAACTATTACCAGAAAGGGGGAGTTGGATGTTGGTCAACCCAAAACAACAGTTTGATCAACCATAGTCATCCAAAGCAATACCTCCACTCCATTCTCCAGTATCCCTTATCCCTAAAGCATCCTGACAAATGGCTATCTATTGTCTGTCTTGAACTAACATTTTATGAGCACTCCTTATGTGCCAGGTACTGTGTTAAGCACCTTCCTGACAAATCAAACTTCCCAGCCACCTGCATTTTATAAATGAGTTAAAAACAGGCCCAGAGAGATGAAGGCACTTGTCCAAAGTCACACAGCAAGTGGCAGAGCTGAGATTTTAATCTAGGTCTGTCTGCTTCAAAAGCTGGAGCTAATAACTATTATGCTGCTTCTTGGGACTGCTCCCTGATTTGCTGCACTTTGGGGCAGCTCTAACTCTTAAGTTCCTGTGCATATTAAAGCAAATTAGGTTTTCCCATACCTAACATAAGAAATTGGGGCTGGTTCTTGGTTGAGGCTCCTTTCAGCTCCCGTAAAATAGGGAGTGTTTAGGCTGATTAGCTCAGGGAAGAGGAAACCCAGGAATTAGTCATATGACATTTCAAAGCCTTAGAGGCCATCACAAGACAAAATAAGCACTCATTAATTCAACAGCTTTTTATTGAGCACCTAAGTGCTGGGCATTATTCTAGAAGCTGAGGATACAGCCAGGGCCACATTATGACTTTCATGGGCCCTAGGCGATTTTGCCTTCTTGAGCCCCTTCTTCCATTAAAAACATATTAAAAATTGTAGTTAACAACACTGTTGGTACAAAGACGAATATAATCCAAGTTGGATTATATCCATTTTTTTATTCTGATTTTAAAAGAAATTAAAACATTTTCATAAGCCCCCTCAAAGTATCATGGCCCCTAGGAACTGTGCTTACTATGCCTAATGGACAGGTAAGCCTGGGATATAACAATAAATAAAAAAGACAAAAATCCCCACCCTTGTGGAGTTAATAATAAATACATTAATTAATTAATAAGATTTCAGATGCTGATAAATTATATGGAGATGTGACAAAGAATGTGCTTGTTTAGATTGAGTGGTCAGGAAAGGCCTCCCTGAAGAAGTTACATTTAAGCTAAGTGGTGAATGTCAAAGATGAAACCAGCCATGCAAAAATCAGGGCAAAAGAACATTCCAAGTGGAGGGAATAGTGAAGACCCTAAGGCAGAAGTAAACTTGGCAGTTTAGAGAAACAGAAAAGGGACCCAAGTGGCTGGAGCTGACCTGTTCCCTGCAGACCCAGAGGGCAGAGCTGGGTTAGAGAGTGAAAAGTATAGAGACTATGAGGAAAGTACTTGGCTAAAGCCAGAACCACCCAGCGAGGAAAGGGGCAGCTTTGGGAGGGAGTGCCCAGCTCCCAGAAGCCCATGTGAACAGAGCCCAGGTCACACCTATTCGGACTGCTGCCCAGGAGATGCCAAGATTTTGTGATTCTTAGTCACCCTTTTGTTCTCTCCAAAATTTTTATTTTTTTCTGTAACTTCTGTGTTTGCAGAGAAGGCTCTCATGGTGTTTTGCAAACCCAGTGTAAACAAAACTTTTTTTCTCAGACATGGTCAAATAATGCCTTGAACTTAAATAGACCTGGACACTTTTTCCTTGCCTTTTGTTTGTTTCTTGCTGGGGCTTCCACGAGTTTCTCTAGAACAGAAGGAAAGTGGAATGCAGACAATAAATATCAGGGCTAGACAGGACTTTAGAGGTCAGCCTACCCAGTTTTTCTGCAAGGATAAAACCCCAACACCCTCGCCCCTCAAAGTTATGGTTTCTACCAGGAGGTACCTTGAGACTAGTTGGTGATTTTTTTCTTTCATTCCTTCATTCAGTTGATTAATATGTACAGTCTTCATAGTGGTTTTCTGTATTCATAAGGGTTTTGAGGGGGTGAACTAATATGTCACCCCCTGTGTAAAGCCCTTTAATGGCTTCCTGGTGGTCTTAGGATAAAGGCAAAATTTCTGTACTGTGAGCCAACAAGACCCATCTGGCCCCTATCTCCTTCTCCAACTTCATCTCACCCTATAGGACTCCTTGCTTTCTGTGCTACAGACACTCCAGCTTTATTTCTTTTGAATTCTCCATGCTCCCTCATGCCACAGGACCTTTGCACATGTTCCCTCTATCTGAAATGTGCTCTTTCCCTCTTCACCTATACACTTCCACTAATCATTCAGAACAGGTTCTGGCCAGGTTTATTTCCTCAGGGAAGACCTCGTTAATTAAATCAAAGCCACCTGTTAACAAGCTTCCATAACATCAAGCAATACCTCTTCTTTGTCCCCATCACTGTCGACTTCGTGAGCATGTGACCCATTCAGTCACAGGGTCCTGTACTTAGAAGAACTTGATGCGTGGTTTAATGCTCCGCTGTCACCATCTTGAAATTCTTTTTTTTTTAAATATTTTATTGGGGAATTGGGGGAGGGAACAGCGTTGGGGAATCAGGGAAGGGGAACAGACAAGTTGCTGTCCTTTTGTTCTTCAGTCTAGTTGTGGAGGATGCCGCTTCACTGGCCCATGTTGGTATTATGATTATTGTGCTCTTCCCGGCTGAAGCAGATTAGTCTCTGGCCATTGGACAGCCGCTCACAGCAGCTCACGCCAGCTGCCGTCCACTCACGGTAGCTTACAGCAGCCCACTGCAGCCCCACTGCAGCCTACACCATCTCCGGCGACTCATCGCAGCCAGCTCCAGGTCGAGCTGTTGTTTACCATCTTAGCTCTAGAGGGGGCAGCGTCACTGGCCCATGTGGGATCTGAACCGGCGGCCCTGCTGCTCACAGCTCGTGCTCCCAAGCCAACTCTTAACCAACAAGCCACTCGGCCAGCCCTTGAAATTCTTGGTTTTTGAGTGAGGGACCCTGTATTTTCATTTGTGGTGCCATCCCCCCCAGCAAATTGTATAGCTGGTTCTGGCCCTAGTTGCAACTTTATGTTTGTTTGTGTGACAATTTGATTAATGACTTTACCCCTGAGTATATGTGGACTCTAGAAGGAGTTGTATTTGTTTTTTATACTTTTATCCCTGTCCCCTATCACAGTTCCTGGCACATAGTAGTTGCTCAATAAGTAGTTGCTGAATGAATGAATAAGAAAGATTCTTTCAGGACATCAGAGTTTGGTTAGGGAGATGTGTGTCGTTCACACTGTTCCTGCATCTCCTTGATGTCAGTGTCCATGATTCTTCTGTTTCCATGGTGTCCAGCTGAGGACTTGGCAGAAAGGCAAGGCAGGTTGGAGAGCCTTCCTGGGGCAGGTGGTGATTGAACTGGGCCCTGAAGGAAGATGAGATAAGGATCCGTGTAGACAGAGGTGTTTGGGTGTTCCTAAAAGAGTAGCATGAGGGCCGGCCGAGTGGCGCACTGGTTAAGAACTGGCTTGGGATGCCAGAGGGCCCCCCTTCAGATCCCACATATGAGGGCCAGTGACACTGCCCTCTGCAGCTAAGATGGTGAACGGCAGCTCGACCTGGGGCTGGGCTGCCATGAGTTGCCGGCTACGGCATAGGCTGCAGCCCCTGCTGCAGTGGGGTGCCATGGGCTACCGAGTGTAGCCAGTAGCCAGCGTGAGCGGCCAGCAGCCGCCGTGAGCGGCCGTCCAGAGGCCGGCGACTGATCTGCCTTGCCCGGGAAGAGTACAATAATCATAATACCAACATGGGCCAGTGAAGCAATGTCCTCCACAACTAGACTGAAGAACAATAGGACAGCAACTTGTCTGTTCCTCTTCCCCGATTCCCCAGCACTGTTCCCCTCCCCCAATTCCCCAATAAAATCTTAAAAAAAAAAAAAAGAGTAGCATGAGCAATGGCAGTGGCATGTAATTTGGGAGAGAGATCCCAAAGTCTTTGTGTCTCCATTTGTCAGGAGAGAGGGTGGAGGTGTGTGTGCATGGGTGTATTATGAATTATGAATTGAGGGATTAGATCCCGGAAGTTCTTCATCTGCCCAGGAGACAATTGCTTTCATGCCCTTATTTATTCATTTAGCAAATATGTGTTGGGTTCCCACAATGTGCCAGACTCTTTTCTAGGTGCTAGAGATACAGTGGTGCCCCCCACCCAGCTCTCAGGCCAGTGCAGGGATCAGAGAAATGCATGAGCACAGGAGCTGGGGGACCTTAGCAGAAGTACCTCACCTGTCCTGTGGATTTAGGGTCAGGCGAAGGGAGAGAAAAAAGGAAGTAAACGATGAGGCCAGAATGGTCAACCAGGCCAGGCCATGAGGGGCATTATAAGCCATGTTGAGGGTTTAAACTTGATCCTTAGTAACAGGATGGCATTGAGAGGTCGGAAGCACTTACTAGACAGCTAAGGTATCAGGTTCTGTGCTGGGCAATTTCACACACACTAGTTTATTTAGTCCCATTGATAATCCTCTGAGCCTGAATAATTGTCCTCATTCCCATTGCACAGATGAGAAAAGTGTGGTCAGATCTGTGTTTCAGAAAGAATTCTGACTCTAGTAGACAGTATGGATTGAGGGAGGCTGGGAGGCCTATGAGGATGTCAGTACATGGACTAGGGCAGGGGCTGTGGGGAAGGGGAGAAGGGATCAGAGGAGGAATGGGCAAGATTTGGCGACCAATTGGACAAGGAGATAAGGGATGATGTCCCGACAATGCCCGGAACTCTGTCTTGGGTGCCTGGGACAGTGCAACACTGAGACTGCAGGTTTGGGAGTCAGATGCCAAATTCCATTTTGGATGCCCTAACCAAAACCAGCTCTTGTCCCAAAACAGGAAGCAGAGGAAAAACCACACCAGCAAACTCCACGAGCTGGCATTGCTGCTACCTGTGCCCCTGAAGACCGGTCGCAAGAAGCTCACCAAGGTAAGAGGACTAAAGGAGAGGAGGTGGGTTTGGAAGGCAGATCCTAAAATGTCAGTAAGCAGGTTAGGCTGGGCAACCTGAACAGACCCTTTCAGTGACAGCACTTAGATGGGAATGGTCCTGCTCTGAATGGGAATTCCAAGGAGTCTGTGAGCCCATGAGTAGAAGCCTGTGGAATTCTTTCTTACAAAAGAGGCAGGGAGAACTGGGAGGGGAAAATAGGCAAGGAGCCGGGAAAGGTCATTGCTTTGGGAGTCAGACAGGCATGGGTGTGAGCCCTCCAGCTCTACAACTGCAGCAGTCTGGGCCGGATGCTCAGATTATCAGCTTCTCAAGCCTCAGGTTTCTCATCTGTAAAACTAGGAAAGATAACTTCTCATCCAGAGATATTGTGAAGCTGTAATGACATAATAGCTGTGACAGGCCCTGAATAAGTGTCAGTTCCCTCTCCCAGTCCTTTGTTTTGTGACCTGTAGGTATCATCTCCATGAGGTAGGAACAGATAAAGCTTCTCTGCATGTCTCCAATGGCTACTCAATAAATGTGCTGAGGTAACACCTCGCTCCCAGTGCGAACTGCTTAATATGAGACACAGAGATCCTGAAGGCCTTGGTGTGATGTTTTCTTGCTATAGTTCCTCTCATTCAGTCATGTATTACTCATTAATCGACCATTTATGGAAAGATGGTTGGATGACAGAAGCTTTTATGATCACAACTAGAGGAGGCAAAGAAATTTGAGGCCCACTCTCATTCTCTGGCAACTCAGAATCTGGTCAGAAAGATAAAGATTTGAACACAGTAGTAAGTTATCCCAGCTAGAATGTGCTTTGTGCCTCCAAAGAAGTTCAGAGGAGCGGGTGTTATGGGGAGATTTGCCAGACCCTAACCCTGACCTTCTTCCTGCCTCCCACATTCTATCAATCCCCAATATGAAGCACTTATATTAGTTTCTTGTTGGTACTGTAACAGCTTACCACAAATGTAATGGCTTAAAACAACACAAATTGGTTCTCTTACATTTCTGGAGGTCAGAAGTCCAAAGTCAGTCTCTCTGGTCTACAGTCAGGGTGTCTGCAGAGTTGCTTCTTCTTGGCGGCTCCAGGGGAGAATCTGTTTCCTTTCCCTTTGCCAGCTTCTAGAGGTCACCTGTGTTCCTAGGCTCATGGTCCCTTCAAAGCCAGCAGTGCAGCATCTTCAAATCTCTTTCCTTCTCTCTCTGCTTCCGTTGTCACTTTGCCTCCCGACCTTTGACCTTCCTGCCTCCTGTTATAAGGAACCCTTATGATTACCTTGGGTCCACTTAGATAATCTAGAATAATCTCCCTATCTGAAGATCCTTAATGTAATCACATCTGCAAAGTCCCCTTTGTTGTATTAACAAAACATATTCACAGGTTCTGGGGATTAGGACATGGACGTCTTTGGGGAGAGGCCTTATGCAGGCCACCACGGTGCTCAAAAATATTTGAGGAATTTTGTCCTCTGTCCTCAAACATTTGAGTATTTGGCATGCATAGGTGCTGTCATAAGCTGTTGGCAGGGAGGGCAGAGATGTCTGGGACACAGTTCCTGCCCTGGAGGAATGGCAATCTAGTCAGGGTACAGGCATTATTTCATCGCTGACCAGATGACCACATCTCCTGGTGGAATTCTCCCCAGGCCACTTTCTTTACCATCGATTCTCTGCTGTCTTAATGATCCCTCCTCTTCTCCATCTTCATTCTTCCTTAAGTTCAGTCCTGGGCCCCCCTGCTCCACATACAACCTGCGTCCACATACAAGTCAGTCCCCAGCCTCCCACTTGACCAGACTGCCTGAAGTGCATCATCACAGCTCTGTCATGGCTGTGGGACCTGCTCAGTCCACTGCTCAGTGAACTAATTGGAGCTATTATGTGTGGCCTCTCCCATGTTTGAGACGGGATGCAGCTAAGATCTGTGGCACCCTTTCTCACCATTCTGGCTGATTAAGTGCCACCTGCCCATATGATGCTGGAGCTTCTCCCTCTGACCAGCAAAGGCCTCAGCATATTACCGCGATTGTTTCCTTATCTTTGACCTTCTTTAGATGAAGAGTTCTGAGATGGCAAGGAGCACAATGGATAAATCTCTATCCCCAGTACCCACAGGGCTGAGCATAGGGCAGGTAACAGTAGTAATTTCTCCCAACTTACCAAGAGTCCTAGGTGTCATATCCTGAGTTCCCAGAATATACATTTTCTCATTTAATCCTCCTACAAGGCTTTTGAGATGCATATGGGTATGCTCCTTTTTTGGTTTGAGGAAACTGAAGCACAAGGGCTCATATTGCCCAGAGGGACACAGCCTCAGTGAGACAGGCAGATGTATCCCTTTTCAAAGGCCCACACCCTCAGCCACTGTCACTGAATGCTCAGTAGACGTTTGGGGAATGAATGAATGAGTGAATGAATGAATGAATTTCCTTTGCTGAGGCAGTTGCAGGACTTGTCCATATCACCCTCAGAAGATTGCTGGTATTTGAGCCTGGTGCGGCCCCCAAGCCAACCTTCCTGAAATTTCAATTACTGAGCCTTCTATCCTGAAATCTGAGATGATGCCCAATTACCTTCTGCGTAAAACCTTTACACTAGTAATAATAAGTAACATTTTATATTATTTTATAGTTTACAAAGACTTCAGTTTAGTGATTGCTGACCATGTGCCAAGCCTGATATTGGAGATACTAAGCAAAAAAGACAGTATCTGCCCTGGAAAAAACCCATGTTGTAATTATAAAAAGTTAGAAAAGGTTCTTATTTAATCCCTTGAGAACCTGGTGAAGGTGGTCTCATTCAGCCGTCAACTAAGCATTTATTAGGCAACTGATATATCAGGCTCTGTGCTGGGAGATTTCACACATGACTTGTTTAGTCCTACTGATAATCCTCCAAGCCTGAATGAGTAGCTCATTCCCATTGTACAGATGAGAACACTGAGGCTCCAAGAAGTAAAATGACCTGCTCCCGGCACACAGCCAGTAAGTGGCAGATTGGATCCAGGTCCTTCCAAACGAGCAATATCTTTGCTGTATGTTACATGTGTTCCTTAGTTAGATTCTAGCTTCCTTTCCATGGGTCAGGTTAAATAATTTCAGTGGCCGTCTGTATATCGTGCTCGGTGCTGTGGGGGACATTCATTCCTTCACATTCCCTGGCTGAGCCACCTCTGGATTCTGTGTGGTTGGGATACAGAAATTAATTCGCTATAGTCTCTACCCTCAACTAGTCCAAACTCAGTGGGAGAGAACAATGTGTAAACAGATAATTATAAAACAGTGTGGCAAGTGCCTTGGTGGAAACAGACTCCGGGTGTTACAAGCGTGCCTAGGAGGAACATCTGACCCAGCCTGGGTGAGAGGGGTCAGGGAGGTGGGAAGCTGGAAGGGGAGAACACTGCGCTGAAGCTCAGAGAAGGAGATGCCAGGTGAGGGGGTGCGTGGGAAGAAGAGAAGGGCTTAGCCCATAGAGAATATGGCATGTGCAAAGGACCAGGGGTGGGAAGCTGAACAGTTTGTGCCGGAAAACTGGACCAGGAGGCAGGCAGACGTGGGTTTAGATCCCAGCCCTGCCACTTCCTGTCTGTAACCATAGCAAGTCCCATTAGCACTCTTAGCTGTAACCGCTATCTTGCTGGGCTGCAGTGAGGACTGAACAGCAGAATAAGAACATGTCTGTCAGTGGAGGAGTTGTTGGGTGGGGAACGGGGCCCTGGAGCCTTTGTCTCTGGTCTCCAGCAGCCTCACATTGTCTTGGGCCCCACTCTTGAGCGTAATCCTGTCTCTCTTTTGGGGGCAGAAGGAGATTCTGCTGCACGTCCTGCAATACATTCAATACCTCCAGAGAAGCATCGATGTGGCCAAGGCCTTGCTCACATTCCACATCACCAATGGGGAAAGTGGACTTGGGGGTAAGTCCAGCCAACGTTTTCCAGGTCCTGATACATGCCAAGTATTGTCTTGGCTATCAGGGACACCGAGTGACTCAGATGATTCCAAGCCGTCCCAGATCACAGCCTCGCGGAGGGGACAAAGTCAGAGAGATGTGCAAGATGCTGTGAACCCAGAGGAGGATGTCAAGGAAGACTGTGGAGGCAGGGGGTTTGGAGCTGTGGACGGTGCAGCCCTGCCAGGCAGAAGAAACGATCTGAGCAAGAGCATGCAGGCATGAGAAGACACGTGTGAAATGCCTGGGGACAAGCAAGCAGATGGGTGTGATTGGAGGGACTGTGTAGCATCGAGATGATGTGCATAGCCTCTCCAGCCAGATCCTGACTCAGATACACGTCTTGTTGCCTTAACCTCTGTGCTTGTTTCCTCACCTGCAAAATGGAGCCAATACTAATACTTCCTTCTGTGTTGGTCGTGAAGATTAAATGAGTTCATATGTGCAGAGACTGTTGTAATGCAGTGTCTGGAACAAGCCAGTTGCCCAAAACCATGCATGTGGGGTGCTGCCATTACTGGTGGGAAAAATACACAGGCAAAAAAAGTAGATGAGGCAGGAATGAGATCCTGAAGGGCTTCCAGTGCCCAGCTGAGGAGGGAGCAAAGAAGCTGAGAATTACTAAAGAGCTTTAAGCCAGGGGCAAACTGTGATTAGATTTTTTTTTGTTTTAGAATGAGGCCTCTGATATCTAGTGTGGAGGATTGGTAATTAAGTGAGAAACTGGAGTCAGGAGATCAGTGAAGGTACTTTTAGGAGTGACCCGGTCAGAAGACGATGAGGCCAAATGTGGCACTGTGGCTGAGTGTGGACAGCAGTTGGGTGCATTTGGGAGGCGTTAACGAACAAGAATTAAGAGGCCTCAGGGAGAGGCCCCAGGTGACCCAGGAGAGTGGAGGAGCCCTCACTGTCTTCCAGGAGGAAGAATTGTTTTGGGGTAGGGAAGATGGGAACACATTTTGGAAGCATCAAATCTGTCTTCCCTCTTAGCCAAGGCCCTAGGGAAACCCTACTTTTGCCACCTGACTATGCAACCTCAGACAAGTCTGATGTCCTGGGACCTCAGTTTTTACATTTGTAGAGTCAGCCTGGGGACCATGGCAACCTGCTTCCTGTCCTCCCCACTATCAATGGGAAGCATTGCCCAGAAGGTAGAGTTTGGGGTAGGGTGAGGGTGAGGGCATCTGATTGTCTCCCTCTCCATCCTGTGCAGGGCTGGGCTGGAACCTCGCTGTGGGCCCAGCAAGGTGGAGACAGTCCACCCCGTCTAGCTCCCCACACTCTTTTAAGTCCTGTCTTCAGGGAGCCTGCCAAAAACCTCAGAAGAAGAAGCTGACCCGAGCATCAGGTACAAGCTATCAGTGGAGGCAGAGCTGGAAGCAGGGGTCAGAGGGGAGAGGCTCCTTCTCCAGGGGTTTTACACTCCTGGGAGGCCGTCAGCAATCCTGAACCCCCGACAAAGCTTCAGAGTCAGCTATACCTGGGTTCAATTCCTGGCGCCTCCTCTTACTAGCTCTGTGGCCTGGGGTGGTCACTCTTCTCTCAGCCTCATCTTCCTCATCTGAAAATTGTAGTGCCTGACACAGAATGGCCTTAAGGATTAGGAGCCTGAGAGCATATTGCTCAAGCAATGCTTACATGGAGGGGCACACGCTCTTGAGCATTGATTGTCTTTAGGGCCTGTCACCCATTCCTGAGCCAGGGTATCAGGGAGCATGGGGTGGAGGAAACACCAAGTGTGGGAGGCCAGCGTCCTGGGTCCAGCCTCAGCCTTGCTATAACTCACTCCATGTCCCTTCCCCTTTGTAGGCCTCAGTTTCCATGTCTTTAAAATGGGAGTTGAACCTAATCAGTGCTTTCCAGCCCTGGCTAAACCTGTGAATCATCCAGTGTGCTAAAAAAAAACAACAAAAAAACAGCCTATGTCTGTGCCTCACACCCAGAAAGTTGGGTTTCGGTGGTCTGGGGTGGAAGCTGGATGTCAGCATTTTTTCAGAGCTCGAAAGGTGATTCTAACCTGTGGGTAGGGGAAGAGAACGTTGGACTAGATGATCTCTAACTGAGGAGCCGGGCTTACCCGGAAAGCACTGATGAGGGACCAGTCCAGGCAAAGCTTTGAAACAGGCGGCTGGGCCCAGAGCAAAGAAAACCAGCACCAGAGCCATCTGGTGACAGTCAGGCCCCCAGCCTCATCTCATGCGTCTCTCTGCTGTCTCAGATTGCCGGACCCAGGCCCAGAACCCTCGCCGCTGTCTGGCCCTGGACAAGCCCAGGAAGCAGGTGACCCCATCCTCAGACCAGAAAGGAGGAAACATAGGGGGGATCACCACTCCTGCAAGATGCCTGGAACCCTGCATTTGCCCTACGGCTGCATCGTCCCCACCTCAAGGTGACTGAAAGGGAGGAAGATCCTGGCTGCTGGATATGGCTGAGAACAGTGTCCAGTGTGACATCTCAAGTTGGTCTCTTCCTCACCATTAATTTAGCCAATCATTTATACACCATTTATCAGGCACCACAATATCCCAGGCACAGTCTTTGTAGCTGGGGCTTCAGTGGTGGACAAGAGGACACTGCCTCTGGCTTCACTCAGCTTATGACCTTTTTCCCAGTTTTCTTTTCCCTCAGGCTCTGCTGTGGGTGTCAGGGCAGGACAAGGTCAGTGCTGCCCTCGTGCGAGGGCTGCAGGTCACAGAACTGGGGATAAGAGCAGGGCCTCCTTGTGAGACTTCACTTGAAGCAGCCAGACAGTTGTTCTCTGACTCGCCGTCCCTATGCCAGCACAGTCAGGCGAGAAATGGCATGACTGGAAGGCAAGACCTTGGGTCATCCCACCCTCTACCTATTCACTCAGCCCTTACACCCTGAGATCACCTCTGTGCCAGGCCACATGCTAGGTGCTAGTGACATAGTCCAGCAAAAGTATCTCACTATCACACTGATGAGCCCGAGTGACCCAGACTTCCTCGGGTTGCCCAAGAGGCCATGGGGGCCCAGAGGAGATGCCTGACTCACCAGGGAGGGAGGGCTTCCCAGATCTGCTAGATGTGTGACTCTGGGCAAGTTACTTAGCTGCAAACTGGGTATAATAATCGCACTCTTCCACAGGGGGTTACTGATAAATATGTAAAATACTTAAACCATGCTGGCCTTAGTAAGCACTTTGTACTTGTTTGCTATTATCATCTTCGTTGTCATTATTCCACTTAAGGATTTTATCTTCCTTCAGCTTCTGATAAGGATATATAGGATTCCAGAAACCTAGTGGTGATTCGGGTTGCCCCGGAGCTTCATACAAAGGCCCTGAAGCTTGAGGTTTTGGCTAGGGTGGGGGTGGGCGAGGCTGTGGCAGACCTTGGCACCTCTTCACCCCTCCATCTGGGAGTCCAGTACTTGTCCCAGTCACAGAAGTGATTACCCTGACTTGCCTCCTTAGGCTGCTATTACACAAAGAGCTCCCAGGATGATGGGCCTTACCCTGCCTTTGAGGCCCAGAACGGGGCTGAGAGGATCCATTTTCTCACCAGGACACAGCCCTTTCCCAGGTAAGGGAACCCCAAGGGCTTTGATGGGGAGAGGCTGAGGTGTTTGGTCTGGAATGGCTGAGGGACAGTAAGAAATGAGGTTGATTTACATCCTCTGCTGGTGTCTGTGGAGCGAGCTCTACAGTGGGCACCGTAAGCTTGGAAGAGAGCCTTGATTACTGTCTGCTGGGCCACAGCCCCTCACTGGTCTCCCTGCCTCCCGTCTCACCCTTCCAGCCCATCCTCACTGGTCAATGGAGTGGCTTTTCTAACACAGAGACCTTGACCATGTCAGTTCACAGTTTAAGGCCCCCCCTCAGTGCCCACAGGGTAGAGCCCAAATATTTTCATTGGCATTTGAGACCTTCTCTGGCCCTCGCTCCCCTTGCCAGCACCCTCTCCTGCCCCTCACCTATGAATCTTATCCTTAACACCTCTAAATATTCACCACTCCTCACAGGAGCCATGCCCTTGTCCCCTCTGGGCTTTTCACCCTCTGGTCCCTCTTTCCAGAAAGCCAGTTCTCCTCATTCACCCGGAAAACTCTACCATCCTTCAGCCTGATCTCAGTGCTGTCCTCCCTCCTGCCCTACCCACCCTCTCTGTCCTCCCCAAACTGCCCCATGAGTGTGACATCAGCATCTGACTACAGCTGCCTCTCCTCACAAGCCTTGAAGCTCCTTGAGGGCAGCGCCTCAGCTGACTAAGCTTTCTGCTCCCAGCATTTACCCAGCAGCCATCATGGAGTGGTTCCTCTCTTATTTCACAGTGGGCGACATTGAGTCACCCAATGGGGAGACCGCTCACCCAGGGTCACAGCAGTTCCCAGCCCAGGGCTCTGGGTCTGCCTTTTGAATTTCACCTCTTGCAGGCAGAAGCTGGTGTTCTACGATTCCAGTGAGGAGGTGAACCAGGAGTCCCCAGACGCTGACCCTTGGCTTCCTGCCTGGACCCCAGAGGGCAGCCCCCATGGTGACTGAAACTCTGTCTCTCTTCTTTGTAGGCTGGTGTGGGGCCTTCTTGGTACCTTCCTTCTGAGGATTTTAGTGGAGAGAGGAAAGCGGGACAGGGAATGGATGTCTGCTAAGCACAGGGATGCAAACATAATGTGGCCTCTGTCACTGAGCCATTGGTTGCCATGGCAGATATTGCTAATCATATGTCACTCTTTCTGGTGGTCCCAGACACTACCTCAGAATCTTTCTTAACACAGAGCTCCAGGTAGCTACAATCAGTCTATTGGATCTAGTACATTATGATAATTTTATTTATTTATTTATTTATTTATTTATTTATTTATTGCCAGCTGCATAATCCAGGTATCATGCCTCTTAATTTCCTCTACCAAGCACTCAAAATGAGCAGTTAACAGCATCACCTTTCCCCAGTGTCTGGTACCATCTCCTCAAAGCCAGCTGCCATGCTGAGGGAGAGGACAATCTGACCATTCCCCCAAACCTGATATTTCCTTTTCAGGGAGCCCACTGGCCTTGGGGCCTCCCCAGATGGCCTACTGGAGTGGGACGGGCCTCCCAAGTGAAATCCTAGGCCTCAGCCCTTCCCTGTTCAGCTCTCCAGGGAAATTGCTGCCAGAAAAGATCCTGGAGGATGGTGCCGAGTCTCTGACCCAAGGTGAGCATCCAGGGCTGGGCCTGATGCTTGGTTCATTCAGAAAACACATGGTGGTGCCCACCATGCTGGGCAGTGAGGGACACCCAGGGATGAATCCTATCCAGGCCCTGCCTCAAGGAGCCTACAGCCTGGTAAGGGAGTAGCCCCAGGCTAGTGTGGGGAGTGGGAGACTCAAGGAGCCCAGAGCGGGGAGCCACTTGCTTTGCCCAGGTTGGAGGTGCCCCACGGGAGCTGGCCTGGGAGCTGGATTTGGACATGGGGCAAGAGATCCAGAAACCCAGAGAGCAGCACTCAGGCTAGCGGGCTGGCAGACAAAGGCTTGGTGGTGGAAGAGAGACCTTTCGGTCCCAGTCATCTCTCTGGCCTCCCTCTCTGACAGCGCTCTTTGGAGAAGCGTTCTTAGATCCTGTGTCTTCACCTTCTGCCTGCATGCTCGAGGTACCACAGAAGGTAGGCATCTCTCCATCCACCTGTCCAGACATGGCCATCTTTCTTTCCATACACATTGCTCACCTGCTTGATTCACTCATTTATCCCCTCAACCTTTCCAGAGACTCACGTGCCCATCCTCTGAACACTCATTGCTGGCCACCAGGTGCCTGCTGTATGCTGGGCACTTGAAATGAACTAGACACAAAAGATAAAAGCTAAAAAGCTGCCAGGTGCCCATAAAAGACCCCACATAGGGCCGGCCGAGTGGCGCGATGGTTAAGAACTGGCTTGGGATGCCAGAGGGCCCCGGTTTGGATCCCACATATGAGGGCCAGTGACACTGCCCTCTACAGCTAAGATGCTGAACAACAGCTCAACCTGGAGCTGGGCTGCCATGAGTCGCCGGCAACGGCGTAGGCTGCAGCCCCTGCGGCAGTGGGTTGCCATGGGCTACCGTGTGTAGCCAGCAGCCAGCAGCTGCAGTGAGCGGCCGTCCAGAAGCCGGCGACTGATCTGCCTCACCCGGGAAGAGTGCAATGATGGTGCCAACTTGGGCCAGTGAAGCAACGTCCTCCACAACTAGACTGAAGAACAAAAGGACAGCAACTTGTCTGTTCCCCTTCCCCCAATTCCCCAGCACTGTTCCCATCCCCCCAATTCCCCAATAAACATCTTAAAAGAAAATAAAAAATTAAAAAAAAAGACCCCACGTAATTTTACGATGGCTCTATGAGGCAGGGTCTCTTGTGACCTCATTTGACAGACGAGGAAACAAAACAGCAGAGTGACCCCAAGAATCCTCAATTGGAAAGAACTTCCTCCCAGGCTCCTGGGCTTACCTCTGTTGTCACCATGTGCTCCAGGAGCTCACTGTCCGTCTGACAGAGGGGCAACCCCAGCTCTGGTCCCCAAATGATTCTTCTTCCAGTGTGTGGGGTGGGCGCTGCCTCCATGAGTAGCTGGATGGGCAGTAGAAACAAAAAAAGACAGTCTTAGCGGAGCCCTTAGTAAGCACTAGGCTCTGTGCTAGGTGCTTCTTGGCCCTGCAAGCATGGGTAGTGCTTCTGTATAGAGGTTCAGAGAAGTTAATACTTGCCCAGGGCTTCACGGCTTCAACGTGAGGTGGTAAAGTGATGGGATTAAGGGATATTGCTCCAGAATGGGAGGCAGAAGACCCGAGCCCAGTGCAGCCCCTCTCTGACCCTTGTGGGAACTTGGGGACATTTGCGTGAATGTCCAGGGGATGTTTGAACGAGGTTGTCTTGAATCTGAGATGTTTCTCATGCTCATTTCCTAGGAAAGCAGTGAGTGGGGCATGAAGAGACACCACTGTCTCCCTTCACATCCCCTCCATTTTTCTCCTTCACCCCCCAGAACATACCCTCTGAGGCCCCCGAAGATCCTTCTGACCCCCACAGCCTGTCCCAGCCCATGGTCTCGTGGGACCACTGCTACCTCTCGCTGAGTGAGAACAGCAAGGGGCCATCCAGCCCCGGCTCTGAGGACTCGGACATCAACACAGAGTCGGTGTGCAAGCTGCAGGAGGTGGGGAGGGACCGCCATCGAGGTTGGTCCCGCCTCTCTGGCCTGGTCTCATCTCCCCGTTCTCCACCCAGGATGCTCAGGCCGACCCCAAGGGCCCTCAGTCCTCCAGCGAAGAGGACGGAGACTACACACGGACCCCATCCCGGTGGACCTCGACCCTGCCCGCAGCCTGGAGGAAGAAAAGAAAGGGCCGGGCAGACAGATGCCCTATGCAGCCCAAGAAGGAGACAGCCCCCTGCCCCACCCAGATGAAGAAAAAATGTGTCAATGGCTTCATCATGTTCTGCAGGATGAACCGGAAGCAGTATATCCGGTGGGTGGGGTCATTTTTGGCTTGCCCCCCAGAGCATGTTGCCCTATGCTGTCTAACACATTGCCCCCCACCCCTTCTGGAACCACCCACCCACCCTTCCTCAGCCATGCTGTCCTCCAGCATCTCTGCTGACCCCATTGCTTTGGTCAGGGCCTGTCAATTGTAAGCAGTGAAACTCACCTCAGACTTAAGAAAAAAAGGAAATGAATTGGCTTATGCAACCTGAAAAGGGGAGGGAGTGGATTGCCTTCAAGATCTGGTTGGTTTGAGGGCTCACACGATGCTGTCTGGAATTCTTGTCCCTCTCTTGGTGCCACTCTTCTGGGTGGGCTTCATTCTCAAGCAGGTGGGGCCGGGTGGGGGCATGGTCACCTTTCGGAGGTTCGGGCTCATATCCTATCTCCCACCCTGGCAACCCCATGGGAGGAGAGCTCCTTGTTTCTAAGGTTTCAAGCACAAGTTCTTGGGACTGACTTGGTAGAGCAGGAGCCCAACCGGAACTGCTCAGTGCCAGCCTAAAGCGGGGGTGGGGGGGGGGAGGTGGGAGGTGCCCAGGCCTCAGGGAGAACAGCTGGTACTTTTACAGAAAGATCCAGGGGCTGTTACCAGGAGCAGCGGACACAGGACCCCTATGGGTCCTGGCACACAGGTATCCCCTTCCCAACAACCATTTAGTCCAGCCCGCCCCCCCCCTCCTTTTGGCGCTAAGCTCCAGGGAGCATAATGGAGGCTTTCAGAATATCCAACATGGGTGGGAACCAGCTGCGTTCTCAGAGGGAAAGCTGAGGCTCTGAGAGGGCAAGGGAGCACGCGTGGTCAGACCCCGGGCCTTCGTCCAAGCCAGGCTGCCCCGCAGGCCTTTCCTTACCTCCACCCTCCTGTCCCAGATTCTGCCCGGGAACCGCATCCACAGCTGCCACCAAGGAGCTGGCCCAACTCTGGCGAATGATGACCGAGCAGGAGCGGAAACCATATTGGTGAGGAGCCCCCGCCCAGAGGCATGGTGGAGCAGAGGGCAGCCTGCTCCTCAGCCCTGCTCTGCTTTCCAGAGCCTTGAGCTTCCGGAGATTGGAAATAGGCTGGGGGTTTACTAGGGTGGGAGGTTTGGGTGTTGCAAACTTTTATGAAAGATTTGGGAGTGACAGGTGGAGAGGTGTTCTCTCTTGGAGCTTAGAAGGGCAAATAGCTTCATTTGGGATTTGGACCCCGCTGCCCTAAATTTTTTTGCCCTCTCTGCCACGGGAAGTTTCTCAGCGCAGGAAACTGGGTCTTACCTTCCTTTCACTTGGCCTCCTCCTTGCCTCGTCTTCCAGCTCCTCTCCCTTCCCCAAACCCTCTCCTCTCCACCATTGTGGGAGCTGCCCCTGCCTGTGTCTTATTGGCTCCTGAAATACATGTCTGTGAGCACAGATTTTAACAGGAACATGTGGCTTCGGCAGAGAGCCCTTGGTGGAGTCCCACGTATAGACTGGGCCCCCGAGGCCCAGAGGTTCACCTGGTGGGACCAAAGACAGCCCCGGCACTGGTCATTGCTGGGGCCAGAGCCCTAGGGGTGGGGCAGAGAGCCTGAGGCAAGTGAGGTACCCCACCATCCCACTGCCTCTTCCCAGCATCAAAGCTCGAAGGTTCAGCCACAGGCACAACCGGATTGTGAAACAGAAGAACTCCAGCAGCGAGGACGAGGACTGGGGGACTCCTAAGCCATTCTACCAGCTGATGGCCGAGAAGGCCCGCTGTTCCTCAAAGCGGGCCTCTCTGCCTCCTTGCCGCAAATGAGAGGCTAACTCGCCTCACCTCTCCTCCCTGGCCACCTTGCAGCTCCTGCTGCTCTCCTTTGAAAGGAGGAACCATGAGGAAGAGGTTGCCCCCTCTTGGGCCTCACCCCTGCCAGTGCAGGTCCCTTTGGCCAGTTCCTGTGGAGCTGGGAGGGGGCCGATTTATTGACCTGATGCTTTATGTGTTTGCCTTGTCTGTGGGCAGCTGAACTCTGCCCTCCCACAGCCCATGCCCTTCTCACAGCTCCTTTCTACTTCGGGTACATCAGAGGAGCTGCCGGCGGGAGGAGCCCCAAATGAAATGCGGGGAGGTGAAGTTAAGAAGGGGCTCCCCTCTGCCCTACCTCGCCTAGCTTAGAATCAAATGGTTTCAACTGTGTTCATTCTCACCTTATCCTACTCCTCCCTCCCATTCTATTTATAGATTATTTATTGTTGCCAAAAAAATAAAGTGGAACCCTTGTTACCAGCAAGGGAGACTCACAGCCTGCCCTGGTCCCCTGCTTCCTCGGCCCTGGGGTGGCTCCTTCTTCCCCGGACCTAGAGGCCCCAGGGGCTGCAGTTGGAAAATAACCACACTGGCCACACCTTCCCAAGCCGCCCCAGTTTGACCTGCACCCCTTCCCTCAGGGAGCCACAATAGGAAAGCCAGAATCTCGTCAGGCTTTGTGTGGTTCAGTTTTTCTTGGGGCAAGTCATTCAGAAGGCAACCCACACCCCAAAAGGTTCAAGTTGTCTGTTAACTTTATTTTAATTGAAATGGAAGCATAATGTGTCCTAGAAAAATAAAGATTTAGGATACAAACTAGACACAGGGGCCGGGATTGCCCCATGGGTGAGGGGATCTTTGGTCTGGGGCTGCACATGATAATGAGGGCTATAGTCCAGGGGAAGCCAGTGGGGCACCCTAGCCCAGGCCTCCCCACAGCTGCGTTGCACTCCAGCAGGAAGGGCCCAGCTGGGAGGGTCTGTCAGTGCCTGGGCTTAGGACTGCCTGTCCTCCATCATCGGCTTCCAGGCAGTTCTGAGAACACTGGATGTCAGTGGAGCTATTAATAGTGTTTTAGGGAGTGATAGGGAGAAGGCTCAAGGAGGTTGGAAATCCAGCCATTTGGCAAGGTTTTCAGCTCACAGTACCAGGTTGAGGGGGGCAGAGCCCCTGAGTCCGGACCCCCAGATCTCCCCAATGGGGGCAGAGCAAGGAGAGAGCCGTCACAGAGGTTGCTTCCCATCCAGAAGGACATTGCCCCTGGACAGGGAGCGACCAGGGGTGAGTCCCCCTGCCACGTCCGGTTTGGAGAGGTTAAGCAGACCGGGGAGGAGGGTGTAGTGTGTGTGGAATCTTCAGATTGCAGCAGTTGTGTTTCTGAAAGTTTCCCTACTCCCAGTGTCCTGGATCTCAAGCACCATTGTCAGGAGAGGCGGTGAGGCCCAGCGGGGTCACAGTTCCAAGGGCTCTTCCACAGGCACTGACTGCAGCTGTGTCAAAACCTTCGTCTCAGCTTCTAGCCCCTCATCGACCTCGCCCCCCGCCGTGCCCCCGAGGAGCATCCCCTCAGAGTCGGGGTCCGGCAGCCTCAGCACAGTGTGGGGGGCCTGCGTCCCCAGCCCCTTCTCTGCTTCTAGCAGCCCCTCTGTGCCTGTGCTCAGTTCCAGTCCCGCTGGCCAGATGGGCACAGCTGTGGTCGACAGCATGAAGCCCTCAGGCGCGGGTGCTGGAAAGCCAGCCAGAAGGCTAGAGGAGTCTGGTGTGAAGGGCAGGCTGGTGGCAGCAGGAGCAGGTGGTGGCTGTGGTGGCTGCTGTGCAGAAAGTGTGCCTAGGGTGTGGGCCTCCGGGAGAGCAGGGCTGGAGGCCACCGGGAGGGCTCCTTCAGGCACTGAGATGGCCGTGTCTGGCTTCAGGGGCAGGGCCAGGCTGGAGGCAGGCGGCAGGACCTGGGAGACCAGCATGCTAGTGGGGAATGTGGCTGTGAGGATGATTTTGCCCTGCTGCACGGCCACACCCGTCACGATGGGGCTTCCAGACACAGGGTTGGCCAGGAGGAAGTTTCCTGTGGGGAGAAGATGGCCAGGCACAGGGTTAGAGGGAGCAGCTGGCCAGGAGCAGAGGTGGAGAGGAAACTGCTGGTGGGCAGGAGGAAGGGCATCAGCCAGAGGCAAACTGAGCCCCTTTGGGGTGGGACCAAGACTGGGCAGCTTGAGTCTCCGCACTACCTGGCATAGGAAGGTTATGGGGCATGCCAGAGATGAGCTTCACCCCTCCACCCTGAAGCCCACCAATAATACCCTCTGTCCCTGAAATAACCACCCCCCACCCAGGCTGGAGGGAGGCAGAAGGGGTTACCTGGGGCAGTGGCTGGAGGCAGCTGCAGGGCAGTCACACCCACTCCGGAGTTTATCAGGTGCACATTGGCAGGGCCCGCTGCAGCTGCCACCTTCACGGGGCTGCCCGGCCCGGCTGTCAACAGCTGCAGTGGCCCCACAGCCTGTGGCAGGGTCACCACCTGTGAGGTGGGCACCACCTGGGGCAGGTTCAACAGCGGGGAGGTGGGGCCCAGGCCTGCAGGGTACCCAGGGGGTGGGGAAAGTGGCACCACTTGTGGAGCAGCCACGGAAGACACTGGTCCTGGGGGCAGAGGAAAGGTGGCAGCCGGCGGAGGGCCAGGCACCACTTGGGGCAGAGGCCCCGACACCTCCTCTCCAGTGGGCCCTGAAGCAGTCACCTGGGTCCCCTTGGTTTCAGGGGCCTCAGGCTGAGCCTCCTCCAGTCGAACCTCCCCAGTTTGAGGGTCCAGGACTAAGGAGGTCTTGCCCTCAGTTGGCCCTAGGGGGCTGGGCTGTGGTGGGGGGGCACTCCCACCCCCTGTGAGCAGCAGGGGGCCTAGGCTGGAGGCCTCGCCCAGGGCCAGGCTGTTGATGATGACTGGACTCCCATTGAGGAGCACCGCTGGCGAGCTGCTGGCAGCCAGGAAGCTCCCGTTGACGAGGATGGAGGAGGAGGCAGGACACGGCGCAGGGGGGGCGGCCCCCGCCAGGAATATGGAGCCCTGGGCAGGGGCCTCGGTGGTCACTGGAACCACCCCTCTCTCCAGGTCCTCAGGGCTGCGGCTGGACTCGTCCTCAGTAGTGGGGTTCCCATCAGACTCGCTGGCCAGAGACAGGATTGTGAGTTGTGGCCCTGACTGCTGTGTTCCCACACTGGCCGGCCAGTTTCTGCAGACTTTAGGGCACAAGCTGACCACCGCCTCCCCACCTTTTCCTAGCCCAAACTTGGGGACAATTCCCGGGGATTATGAAACCTCTCAGACCCAAGGACCCCAGGGACAGAGCCTCTACAAGTGCCTCATTGAAACCACTGCAAAGCTAAAGGTGGCCGCACCGCGAGGGAAGAGGCCCTCCTCTTCCATTCCCTCGGCTCCAGCCCCAGAAGCTGAGCATCCAGGCAGCTCTGAGTCTCCTGGGTCAGGCTGAAAGCAGCCCAGTGGCTTTGGAGAGCGAGGAGGCAGCTGCCTGCTCAGTTCCCGGTGCCTCCCCCTGGGCGTCAGAGAAGGGAGTGAGAGGCCGACGCACAGGGTGGGAGGGGAAGGGCTTGGGTTACAGGGAAACTGGAGCTGGGGAAGGTTCACGTTTCACAACAAAGGCAGACTACGGACCACGCTGTTTTGGGCCCCTAGCGGGGGCGGGTGTGGAGGTGGGGGTGAGGAAGAGCCATGGTCCGAGATGCGCTCCGCAGCGCAGGGGCCTGAAAGAAGCCCCAACGCGGGGTGGGGTGGAACACAAGCCCCTCCCCCTTTTCTGCAGCCCCTCTTTTTCTCACTGCCTCCCCAAGTCTAGCCACCAACACGGATAAGATCTGGGATGGAGCCCCGAGTGGGGCAGTGGGAAGAGATCTCCCAGCCTCCGCGAGAGGAACAGCGATGTCGGGGAGGGGGCCCGGGGCGTGTGGCTATTCCATCCACACTATGGGCGCCGGAGGGTGTGAGCGGAATGCGTCCGAGGAGTTCGGCGCGCTGGCTCCCGCAGTGGGCGTGCGGGAGAGGGGGACTAAGTGGATAGCACGTCCCGGGAATGCGGGACCTGCACCGCCCGGGTCCCCTCACCTCTTGCAGGGCGCGCCACCGCCGCCCCCGGTCCGGTCGCGTTGTCGTCGATTCTTGAACCAGTTGCTGACCTGCGTGAGCGAGAGGCCAGTGAGCGTGGCCAGGCGGCGCTTCTCGTCCGGCGTGGGGTAGCGGTTGCCGCGATAGCAGGCCTTGAGCGCCGCGCGAGAGCGCTCCTTGAAGCAGTAGACCGTCTCCTCGCCGTCCCAGATGGTCTTGGGCAGCGGAAACTTCTTGCGCAGACGGTACTTGTCCACTGCTCCCAACGCGCGGCCGCGGGCCCGCTCGGCCTCGTGGTAGCGCGCGCGCAGGTAGAGGTCCTGCAGGAAGGCGTGGTGGGCGGCGGGGAAGGGACGGCTCTCGAGTAGCCGGTAGAGCTCGGCGTACTCGCCTCGCTGGAAGGCCACCAAGGCCCGAGCGCGCAGCACCGGGTCGCTGCCACGTAGGCGCTCGGCCGGGGGCAGTGCGCCCAGGAAGCGGCTCAAGCGGCCGGCGTGGCCCGCCTGTAGCAGCGCCTCGCAGACGCACGCCACCTGCTCGGGCGAGAAGCGGAGGCCCGTGGGCGGCTCGGCAGCGGCCTCGGGGGGCGACCCGGGGACGCCCGGGGACCCCGGGCCCTCCGCTCCCGCCGCTGCTTCGCCCGCCCCGGCCCCGGCCGCCGCCGCCGCCTCACCCTCCGCCGCCTGCAAAGTCTGCAGAAGCTGGCGCGCTTCCTCCTCCTCCTCTTCGGTCGCCGCCACTGCCACCGCCTCCCCCCCAGCCGCCGGCCCCGCGCTCGGCTCCGCAGGCAAGGTAGCCATGTTTTGCAACTTTGGGAAGTTCCTCCCTCCTTCTCCTCCTCTCTCGGGCTTTCCCCAGCCCCCTCCCCCGCCCGTCCCCCCTCTCCGCCACCCCCCGTTCGCGCTTCCCGATCTTCTCCCTCTGTCGACCCCGCGTCTGCCCCCTAATGCCAGGCCCGGCGCCTCACTAGGGTCTGTCTCCCAGTGTCGGTGTATGTGCCCGTCCCCCTCCCCGTCTGTCCGTGATTCTCCCTTTGTTTTCCCTCTGCCTCAGGCCGCGCTTTTTGCCTCCCCCCGCGTGTGCCTCTGGCTCAGGGCCTCAGTTTCCCCATCGGGACAACGGAGAAGGTAACGGTCCGTCCGGGAGGGCTAAGGGCGCGAAGCCACCTCCGCCCCGAGACTGAGCTTCTGCACGCCTCGGTCTCCAGGGTCTTCTAAAGGCCCCCCCACTCTTCATCTCGGCCTGCGCTCCACCCCTCGGAATTCCCAGCTCCGCAGGGGGGCGGGTCTGGCGTGGAGAAGGGGCGGGGAAAACGGGCTAGAAAGTTTGCTCCAACTTTTCTAGAGCGTCT